GATAAGTCATTTTATAAGAATGTGCTATGTGTTCACAAAGTGTCTATGAAAGTTGCATAGATGCAGACCTTAAGTGTAAATTCTAACTGATGTTAAAATAGTACCTTAGACTCAATTCGAGGTGCTCATTCTCATAATGATGTTATAAGATCGACATTCTTCTATAAAAGGTGCCAAACTAAACTGGAGTTTTCAGAGACTTTCTCAGAAATCGCAAAATGAGCCTAGACAATATTTTCACAGTTTCCATCAACATGATTTGTAGTTCACCCATTAATATTTCTACACGAAAGGTTTCGAATCAAATCAACAATAGTTGATCATATGAGATAGATGAAGATAATCGGACAGGTACGAATTCACCGCCCTGTGCCTCAATACGACCGCATGAGCGAAAATGAGAAATTTTCATGTTTCGATAATAGATTGTATTTGGAAGTGAACAACTCATGTGCTTTTGATGATAGACGACATGATCGAAATAAATTTTGAATGTGCCCCTACAATAGTAATTTTGTTCAAGTTTCAAGCGTAGAGATTGTTAAACAACTTCCTCTGATGGTAAGCTCCACCACAGTAAATCGATATTGTGTATTTTAATGTCTTACCAATTAGTCGTATATAGCTATTAGAACATTGAAATTTTAGGATGACGGACCGCTGAAAAAGACTGCACCGCTTCTTGATGAAATTCTGAAAAAAGCTGTTTAGCCCATTTCTTGATTTCTGAGAGTCCCTGAGAATTCTACTTTTCATATGAACTTTTTTGTAAAAAAGATTCAATCTTCTTCAGCCATTATCACAAAGAGCAATTTTAATTGAGCCTTCAGTATTATTTTAACGTCTGTCAGACATTACACTTAAGAAATACATCTATGCAATTTTTATAGCCATGTTTTGGACACATAGCACCTTCTCACAAAGTGTCAGCGATTTTTTGAAGTGAGATTTTGAAGGGAATATTTTGACAACGACATATTTTGTCTTATATTCTTTAACTTCCTCTATCGATCCAGCATATAAAGAAAATAATGCAAGGCATAGTTGGTGCTCTGGTGAGCTCTATCCTAACGATGAGAAAATGCATTCAAAGCGATGTCTACGTATTAAATGATATACGAGTGATTCTATCTTTATTCAACTAGAACGACTCACTGAACCAATATTCACTTCAATTATCGCATAAAATCAAATTAAACATTTATTTGTTATGATTGATATTCATTCGTTTATTTCGTTAAACGTTCTAGGGAAGACAAACACATTGCAGCAACACTTATATATTTGAACGGATATCGAATTTTTGGACTCGGTGATTTTCGTTATCGACGACATAGAGATTCCCGTGTCGATCGAATGACAATCCGATGGGCCAATGGAGTTGGTTCGATTGTTCTCCACTACAGTTTCCACCAACAATGACACTTCCTTGTGTGGTTCCTTTAGGCCAACGCATGATTCGATTATTCCCTTCATCAGCCACATAGACAGTGCCCAATTGATCGACAACGACTCCTAGAGGAGATGACAATTGTGTAAGATCATTTCCTTCTCCTTGACCACCAGCCACGACAATGCCTTGTTTTGCACCTTCCATCCATTTCATCACACGATGATTGTCCCATTCAGTTACGTACACTGAATGATCTCGATCGACGAATACGTATTGTGGGCAAGAGAGTTGATCGAGACGATTTCCACGTCCATTGCCACCTGCAACCACTGTTCCTTGAGATTCTCCTCTTCGATATCGTCTCACTTCATGTTTTTCATAGTCATTGACATAGAGAGATCCATTCTCGTCCATTGTCAAACCCGCAGAATCGATGTTGGAGATGATTGTTTCTCCACTTGTCCCATTTCGACGAGGCCATCGAACCACTCTTCTATTCGAAGTATCCCATATGATGAGACTATCTCTCTCTTTGTCGATAATCACATCATATGGGTTATTCAATTGATGATCTCCACTTCCTTGTCCATTTCCACCGGCAACCACTTGGCCACTTGTTGCACCTCGTTTCCATTCCACAATACGGTGATTTGATTGATCAGCAACGTAAATTGTTTGGTCATCATCACCATACAAACCCAATGGGTATGAGAGTTGATTGATTCCATTGCCTTGTCGATTTCCTCCAGCTACAGTGATACCATTTTGTTGCCATCGAGCATTCAGATGAATGTTGGTGCTGGATGGAGAACGTAATGGATAGTCTAAAATAGAGACAAGAAAAATTATTAAAATAAGAGAGAGAAATTTTCTCTTCACAGAAATCGAATTTTGTTACAAGATGAGAAAACGTTTTTAGTCAAATTCTCAACTTTATCAACGAAGATTGTTTTGTTTTAAAAGATTTTCTTGAATTCAAAATGTTTGATTGCAATTTTTTCGGTCAACCATGCATTATTTCGTTAATTTGCTTTTAGATGGGCTCTTTTTTGCATTTTTATATGCGAGTTCAATTTGATAAGATTCTTAAATAAATGGCAAGAGTGCGACATCGCTGATATTCTACTCGGGCATACATTATGATGGAAAACAGATTTATGCTTATGATCTCTTTTCAATGAGAATAACAAAGAAGAATCATTTTATGGAAAGCACAGTTCTTAGTCTCTATTCTTTATTTTCTATATATATTTTCAAAGTAAGTGTCTGATTGCAACTTTTGAATTGAGTCGACATTTTCTGAATAATTGTATTGCCAATCTGATTTTTCTAGAATTATTCTATTCAAGAAGTTGTTTGAGTCGTTGAACAAATTCATGGTGAAATAAAGCATTAGCTGTGTTTTGTTTGTCAAACACTATTATTTGACTGATATCATGGCAAATCATGAACTAATTATAACTTATACAAAACCTCTCATTGCTATTTTCTGATTTTTGACGAAAATAACCTATCAAAACTGACGGAAAAGTAGAAATTGGAGATAAAAAGCGAGACATGTTACTTCAATGATACTAGTAATTTCAAGATTACATTGGTAGTGCCTGCTCTTTCATTCCACTGACGTAGTCTTACCATCACTCTAACCAATATTCGCACTCTCGGTTAAACTTAAGATGATAAATTTCTGATTTCTCAGTTTTTTGCTATTTTGGAAATGATATGGTTGAAGAAAAGAAATAATTATCTTTATATTGAAATTTATATTAATTTTGACACGTAGATTTCGAACTTAGTAACAATTCGAGATTTGCGACTTTGTAGTTTAGACTATGTGAAAGAGTACTTGTACTGAAGTTGTTAGCTTTCGTTGGCTTTAAGATACTGAGATGAAGAAAAATCAAAACATCATAAGTCCTCAATACACATCAGCCAGGCATTCACCACTATTTTTTTTATCTGTTCAACCCTAAGAATGTCTTTTTGACACCATTTTTCAGCAATATCCTATCTACCCATGTGGCTTATTTTGTCATCATTAAGACTACTTCAAAATTCCGAGATAT